TAGCATGTCGGTGAGCGAAACATGTTATTCTGTGGAAGTTTAGAGAGCAACAGTTTTCTGCGCCCCGACATTTCAGAAGTTAACAATGACTCTCCATAAACTTGTAGGATTTATATAATTATATTCATCGGCCATGCATTTCAAAATTACCACGACCCATGGAATTAGAAATTCGAGTCAGTTGGTACAGTGGCTAACAAAACTAACTACACAACGATAAGAGTCAAACTCAGATGGCTGATACTATTATCATCTCCCAAGCTCCCACAAACTAAGGCAGATTAACTGCCAAGAACTGTTTTACAAGGAAATAAATGTTTCTGATATATTTATTGTATTGATCATATTTATATCGTTATCGAGACCCATTATTCAGTTTACGCGATTTATGGTGCTTTTGTGGCCCATTACTGTTGAAACAGGAAAATGTCCATTGATCCAGTTTCTAGGGTTTTATACCCTTATAACAAACACCCTTTATGCATTTACAATTTAAAAAAAAATAAAAATTAATCAGTTATGGAATTTATTCACCTATCTCCATTGAAATTGAATTGATTCTAACAAAATCACAATACTTGCAACAGGCAACACAAATTCGCAAATTGGGGATTTTTTTTTAAACTAAATTTTACCCCACAACCACTTCAATTGAAGAAAGAAAATTAGGGCAACCAATTTCGTACCTCATCATCACCATTGATTTTCTTCCGGAACCGATTGATGTTCAAAACCTAAAACCCCACAGAGAAAAGTTCAAAACCCCCAATTTAACTGAAAACGAGACTGTAATTAAAAAAAAAAAAAAAAAAAAAAAGGGGGATTTACTTGAACTTCGGCGGAGGGCGACGGCGAATTGAAGTTATCGGAGAAAGAAGCGATGCCGCACATCAAGGCGAGAATGGTGACGGCGAATGCCAGCAGAGCGTTGGCTCTGTACCCGATGGAGTGCATATTTGTTGTTGTTCGTCTTCTCTTCGATTTCTGTAAAATTCGAGGTTTTCAGAGGGCGATCCCATATTTAAATTAATTTATTTCTTTTTATTAATACTTTCCTTACATTACATTTCAACATTAATTTCTCTCTCTCTATTTCTTGCTCCAATTTTTTCACTTTCCAAATATTAAATAAAATAGTCAAAGGCTCAATTAATTGCCTATTGTGAAAATCAAATTTGATACGAATGTAATTAAGATTTAGGTGCCATTACTTATTGGGATAATTAGCAATAACCACCTCATCTAGGAAAATGAGTTATGGAAACATCCCCTCCTAAAAATAATTAGAGAAAACTCCCTTAGCTAACATTCCACCCATGTGATATTTTCATAATTCAAAAACTATTCTTAATTGTCTATTATACTATTTCAAAACTCTAATCTTATTTTTATTTATTCATCCGCCGTTTTCACGGTCCATCGTTTCTCTTCTTCTTTGTTTTTTTTCCCCTCTGTTTTCTCCGACAATCTTCCGCCACTGCCGCCGCCGCCGTCGGGAGATGGAGAAAGAAAGAAGATGAAGCACCCATCAGACATTATAAATGATTTCGATAGCGATTCTGAATTCGAATACCAGGATTGCTACATCGGAGGCTAATAGAGATAAGATTGTCGATTTATCGTCGGAATCGAATTTTGATGGGTGGTGGTTCTGCTTTGGTTGGTGGTGCGAGTTGTGATTTTATTTATTTATCCGTAAGAAAAAACCGTCATAATGTCAAAGTAAGGTGGTGATGGTGTTTTGTGGCGGCGGTGTGGTGACGATGGGGAGACAGATTTAGGGTTTTTTGGTGGATCGGGTGGAGGACGGCGCCTCTAGAGAATTTCGCGCAGGATGAAACCTTAATCGACTATGTACATGTTCATAGTCGATTAAGCTAATCGACTATGCTCTGGCAGTCGATTAAGGTTGATCGACTCAATTTTTTTTATTTTTTTTGAATTTTTTGTTTATTGATTCCAATTGTATAAATCATTTATAAAATTTGTATATTTTTTGTTTTTGTAAAATATAGTTGATTTTGCATTTTTTCGCAATTGTGATTTGTTATATTTAGTAGCAGATTCTTAAATCGACTATGCTTCATCATAGTCGATTAATATACCTGATATAGAAAAAAAAATTAAAAACAAAAAAAAAATTAAAAAAATTAAAGATTTTCCTTAATCGACTATGAAGCATAGTCGATTAAGGCTAATCGACTATGTCTCATAATCGATTACGGAACATGATACAA